GTTGAGATGGTTGGGGTTGATGGCTGTTTGCATTGCATTGTTTTAGAGGAGCCAGGTTCCATTTTCTAGGGAGTCTAAGAGCACTGGCTCTCTCTAGGAGACTTGTAGGAATGCTTCTTCGAACTGCCTACAGCTAACTATTACTATGGCATTAACCTACCCTTTATCTTCCTGTGGCTTCACTATCAGGGGAGTGCCCCAAAAGGCTGGTGGGCTGTCTGCTTTGGTGTTGTGTAGGTTGGGCAGAGGTTCCTGCAACAGCTTAGAATGGTGATGAGTGTTGGCTGAGCTGCTTATGCCCCCAGGTACACAGGCAGGAATTCCCAGGCAAGTGGTTGGGTGGGGTATCCCCTGGAGGGGAAGCAGGGCTTTCCCTAGCCTTGGGCTAGCTACACAGGGTGGGGCTAGCTACACAGGGTGGGGCTCAGCTAGCTGGGTGTGGTACAGGCATAAGAGCCCTAGGCTACTGGGGGTGGTCTGGACTTCAGCAGTGGATTGTGAGAGAACAGAAAAGAGACAGAGGGGAAAGAAAAAAAATTAAAGAGTAAGACCGTTTAGACTGTGCGGGGGTGGGGTGGGGGTGGGGATATGGGGGAGAGAGGGAAAGAAAAGTAACTATGTAGTTGAGTCCCACTCTCCATCAGTGGAGTCATGAGAGTTTAGTCGCTACTCTGGGGCAGCAGTGGCAAGCCGCAGTTGCCACAGTTGAGCTGAGAAAAAGCCGCTGAGCAGCCCTCCAAGACCGTTGGGGTGGGGTGAGGTCTCAGATAGAGGGCAGAGATGTAAGCAGAGGCAACAATGTAGCTGGACACCGATTCTATCGCAGATCCCTGTCTGTGGAGTTGCGAGGGTTTAGTCCCCACCCCGAGGAGGCGGTGACAAGCTGTGGCTGTGCCGAGAAAACCTCCTGTGCAGGCCTCCCAGACTGTGAGTGAACAGAGAGCAGAGATGTAACCAAAAGCTACAAATTAACTGAACCCCACTCCCTGCCCGTGGAGCCCCAAGGGTCCAGTTCCTGCCCTGAGGCTGACGGGCATAAACTGTGGCTGTGTTGGATCCAAATCCCCCTACCGGCTCCAAATGGTCCCGGATCTGGCAGCGACAATAGCTGGGCCAAGGTCAAGCCCCCGCCGGCTTTCCCGGCTCCAGCAGGGACAGTAGCTGGGCCAAGGTCAAGCCCCGCCGGCTTTCCCGGCTCCGGCAGGGACAGTAACTGGGCCAAGGTCAAGCCCCAGCCGGCTTCCACTGAGGTAAGCCAAATGCCCCAAGCCCCTCAAAACCCCATGAGTCTGTGCCTACTTATCTTTATTATGCTCCTCCTGTGTTCTAGTTGTGTTAAAGTTCCCTCTAAGCA